GCTTCTCGCTGGCAGGGCATGGGAAGCTGAAAAGTCCTTGACTAGTGTCAGCACTGCTTAGCAACAACTAAAACATGGGTGTGTTATCAACATTGTTCTCATCCTAAATCCAAAACACAGCACTGTACCAGCTACTAGGAAGAAAATTAACTTTATCCCAGCCAGAACCAGGACAGTATCATATGTATATTTAATAACTGGTAAATATTAAAAAGATTGATAATTTGCTATAATATATTAAGTGTTGAGAAAATTTAAATTCAGAAAGCACACTTAATACATGCCAAAGTACTGTAAGGAGTTCCCGAAGAGTTTTACTGCTTAACTGTGGATACCTTTGGTTACACTTGGAGTCACTGTGGTGTTTTTTATTTCAGGTGTGAAAGTTGTTTTATCTGTCTGCAATGAAGTCTTCACTGAATGAATGAAGTCATCACTGAAGTCATCATTCTTGTCGTCATTCTTGTTCTGAGGTGGTGGTGGCATGGTGATTTTAGGAGCACGGCCTTTAGAAGAAAAGCATTTATTAAAGAAGTTTTTTGAAGTGCTAGTTTTCCGTGTTTCCTTTTCAGGAGAAGACAGCTGGAACAGTTTGCTCTAAAGCTTTTGGTCATGTTATGTAATGAGGGAAAAAACCCATGAATCAGTAACATGGAAAGCAAGTGACTGGTGTCTTTTGAAACACTTATTTTCTAAATTACCTTGTTTACGCCTAAACTAGGTATTTTCCAGGTTAAGTGTAATAACTTTGGAAGAAATTCCAAATTATCAGTCACAGAAGGATTATGCAGCTAAGAAGTACTTTCTTCTCATGGAAAATATACCCACAATGTAGTCTTTGCCAAATTATTTCACTGCTTGTCTTGCACAGTTGAAAGGTTTTCAGTTGCCTTACCTATACTAAACTGACATCCTAGCAATTCTACTTTCATTGCAATTTTCTGGTGCCATTTTAAGGGGTTAATCCTAAAAAAGCGTGCAATAATAGGTGGAATGAAATTATTGCGAACTTCCTGGTACAATTCAGTGTTCCCTTGAAATATCTAGAAAAGAAAAAAAAAAAACAAGAGAGACAAACATTATGTTATACAAATGCAATAGCAACTAAGTAACAACCAATTTTGACATTTTATTTAGGAAAAATAAGCGGTCAGAATCCTGGAAAATTCACCCCAGAACAATGCTGCTGCCTGAGCACCTCCACTCACTCGGCCCTATTAATATATAACTAAATAAAATACCGGGGGTGGGTGGCGTATATACGCACAACTACTTACTTCAGAATAAAGGTACCATGTAATATTCTCCTGATGTTCCCCAGGCAATGCCTGCTGTTAAAGAGATCTCCCATGTTTACGCAGTGAATAATTCTAACTCAGTCCTTTCTGGTATTTTGCACTTACTCTTCAAATATATACAGCAAGCAGTTGTGACAATGTGAAAGCAGGAATTAAGCCGTGCCTTCACACAGCCTAATAGTTTAAGCATAGTCTGTCCCGTGGATGGGCACGGCATTTATTAGAAAGCATTAAGAGACACAGTCAAGTATGTAATCACACTGTCCTCTAGCGGTCGCTGTCTACAGGGGCTGAACCGCAAGCAAAATAAAAGGATTCAGGTTCAGAATGTGAGAGCTCTCTTCAGAGCCTCATACGGAGCCACGCGGCTCTGGAAGAGAAGGGCGCAGACTTTGCATAGAGCATGAGCTGAAGCTGGTCCTTCACTGCTGGTCCTCGCACACAAAGTACTCATCAAAAATTGACAATGCAGAACAGGTTTGTCTGGTTGAAGTTCAAAACCAGTAAGCAGATAGTCACTGCATGATGCAGTGTAAGCACACTGACAAACTTACAGCCAACTACAGGCTTTGCACCGAGCTGCTTAAAACAATACAGAAAGTAGGCCCAGGGCTCCAACCCAGCAAGCCATCCCATCATCTTCTTTGGGAGGACTGGTTTGGTGTCATGTCTTTGGGTAGGAAGTGAACTGTCTCTCCATGTTAGTGCGCAGCAGTTGGGCTTTGGCTCCGCAAATGCAGCTCTTGGGTGCTACTGGAACACATGTCACCATAGAGGTGACAGTGAGTGAGTAACACGTTTGCAGATACTCCAAATCATGTTGGATGTAATGCAGAACAGAATCATGGCACTTGCCTGAAAAATAAATATTATAGCGAGTTTTCTGCTCACTCACACAACTTGGTAAACAATAAAGCACCTTGCCACTCTTAAGGACAAGCATTGTATTGTGTAACAGCTGATGTGTCTGCATTAGATGGAGCAGTCAAGAGTTTTTAGCACACTTCCGATCAATGCAGATCGCTGGTGTTTCAACCTTCATACACAAGGTAGAGATTTTTGTATTGCACTCCTGTGTTTAAGGTTTTGTAACAAAATTACTAGAATATCCCTACAGGTTTGAAAGAAAACAATTATTCCAGGAACGATCCATTCAGAAGCCCCCAAAACCCCCAAACAAGCCCAGGGACCTTTAAGGGACTCACGCCTGGGCTCCCTGATGTACATAACGTGTCTCCACTCTCAAAAGACACACAAGCCCCATTACTATTACTTACGCAGAATAATTTTGGTCTGTCCTTACATAGGCATTAATTGCCATCATGTTTGAAAGCACTGACTGATCAAATAGACACATAAGTCAATTTAGTTAGGCATGGAAAAATAAATCACTTGGTAATGTAAATGCAGTACTTCATGTTTGAGTGTATTGGTTTTTCTACATCTTAAATTAGTAGCCAGCATTTTCATTTTTACGTATCCAAGTAACACTATCAAGCTAACTGCTAACCCATTCATCATACTAAAAAGCTAGGTAAGCAAACACAAGGTATTTGCCTTGAAAGTGTACAGTTTCTGTTCTTCCCCCACTTACTGCAGTGCAGATTTACAAGCACGCAGCTCTCGGTGATATTTGTCCTGCTCTGAATTTAAGCTTATTGTTCTTAAATATACTTACTAGCAATAGATTAAATGCGAGGGCGAGTCTACTGTGTTGTTTTGGAAATAAATGAATAATACAAAGCAGTCACAGTTTGTGTGTCCAAGTAGTCACAATCTAGTGAGACGTGGCAAGAACACAGGAGACTGGGTTACAATTTACAGCCACTTTTCCCCTAAACTAGGGCAACTTTTTTTTTTAATTTTTTTTTTTTTTTTAAGCTGACAGGCTTGTAGCTACAGATCTCACCTGAGAATTACTTGTTTTGGTAAAGATGCAAATGAGAAGCAAAACACAGAGGTGACTCTTTGAGGGGATGCAGCCAGCCCAAATTGCTGTACTGTATCCTTGTTTGCGCTGTGCCATGCCAGTGCCCGCTACTAGAAGAAGGTGCAAGCTGCATCTGGCTACCCGAGCAACAAATGCAGAAGTTACAGATGAGGAAAACAGATGCCCAACACTGAAGTTCTCACTTCAGGTTTCTGAGGCTGAGTATGTAACAACAAAGGCAACAAGAATCGTTAACGTTGACTATTATCTTCAAGAAAGATTAACAGTAAAATAGTTCTTTACTCCAGGCTTTTATTAGTCAACCTTTTGATGTCAAGTGTTACAATAGTAACTTAACTTTACCTGCAGCTCAATACTTTTTGTTCATTTAATTTTTTGCACAAAAAAACTTGCTTCCGAGCTCAATGCAGTGCAAGTTTTTTGATAAGAAATCACTTTCTTATTCCATTTATCATCAAAGTCTCTCCGTTTGCCTCTGTGCTGTCAAACTAAACTTTTCCAACACTGCAACTTTGATTTGTCATTCTTCCTCAATTCAAGCATTTTATTCTTTTTTCAGGTATAAAAATGTTAAGAAAAGCTTTTCTTGAGTACTGACAGATCTCCAGAAGCTATTTGCAAAGAGGACTACAGGAAAGCCTTGGAAAAGCTTCTAGTCTCCCGAAAAACGTTAGGGATTCCAAACATTTTTCAAAAAAACGGGGACTAGCACCTCCTGGTTTGTCTGGTGTGCAATTACATAAGGCTCAAAGGGAGCAGCCTGCACACGTATGCATCCAAAAGCAAAGCTGTATCAAGTGAGATGATGTCAGAGGAAAAACCTGCTATTTTGAAGCCTAAGAGATTAACCATACTGAACCCTTTTTTCTGTCATTTAACTACAGCTAGTACTTCCTGGATACGTGTGGTTCTTCACGCGTTGTACCTAATGATACAAAGAGTGCAAAAAAAGATCTGTTGCCCGTAATTTCAAGCTCCACAATTTGTTTCATTTCATGAACTTGCAAGAAAAACAATATGCTCAAATTAAAAGGCAACAGCTGCAAAGGTTTTCTAAGAAAATAATCAAACTAAACATGAAGCCTAAATCTAGGTGGCTCACTAGCTGAGATTTTGTTTTATGGCCAGAAGAGGGCACTCAAAAACTAGCAAAAGATGCTGGATTTTTATCTTTTTTTTCCTTGAACACTTGATGCTAACAGTCTGTTAGTTCACGTGTAGGTTCAAGGAGATGGACCAGCCCCGACAGTAAAGTCTCCTCCTTTCAGGAAAGTTTCCTTCTGTGATTATGTTCAGTGTTCAAAAACCTCTTAATTTAACAAACAAGCTACTTCAACCTTTCACTTCATCAACAGGATGCTACGCCCTACCTTGAAACATTCTTAACCCATGGCAAACAGAAGAAAACCAAGCACAGCTAAAGAGTTACCATTCTTAAGACCCGTTTCTAAAAAGTTACTAGGTTACTAGTTACTATTGCATGTATCTAATACCACAGGCCTATGGAAGTAAGGTAAATTACATCCAAGAATTTTAAGGAAAAGAAGGAAATTCTAGTTCCAGTCAGGTTACCACGAATCTGCTCATTTTTTTAAGAAAATCTGATCTGAATCACTGGGAAGACCACGTAGGACATTAATCTTCTCATTTTTACTGTCTATTAAATACTGCAAAACTGTAAACACAGGGAAAATAAGATTATCTTGCTGCTAACATTAGGTAATTTTTCTGTGTGGCAAAGCATTTGCAATCTGAACATACCATTTCATGTTTTAAGAAAACTCTCCTCTGCAAGGGCTGTTCTACTATACAAGAAAGAAACTTCCCAGTATTTTGTCAAAAAGTAAGATTGACAGAAACATCATAAAAGATGGAAAACTATACAACCCCTAACATTTATTCTGTAACCACAAAAGGGTAAGAGTTTAAACCTTAATTTTGAAACATACAACCTATTTTGAAAGAAATCTGATTATTCTTAAAGGGACGCAGTACCAGACGGCCTACCACTGACAACGGAAGTTTCTTGTATAGAATATTCCCACCCCCATACAGTAATAATCTCTGAATTTCAGAACTGTTCAAATCCTTACATATTTGCATATTTTCATATTTTCTTCTGCATAGATGCCATTTATGATTCAAAATTACACTGAAAATGAAAGTTATTTAATGCTTCCTCACCGTACCAAAATTGGTCATATTTACAATTGTGAAATCTCCATAGAACATACCTAGAAAGTGTGTCGTATTTTTACCTTATCTTTATCCATGCCAGGTTCTCTGTATACTGTCCATTTCTGTGCATCATCACTATATAAAATTCTGTAGGCTGAGACGTAATAGTAGTACTCTGCTAAGGTTGATCCAGTAGTTATAATACCTGTGAAAATGAAGGTGCCCAGTTAGACAAAAAACTGGTACCAGTTTGTAAAAATTAATAGATCAGCTTTTGAACCCAGAGTTACGTAGTTGGAATCTCCACTGATCCAGTTACATTTCAAAAAGTTTATCTAAGGTGTCAGGGTCTGAAACTCCTACAGTGACTGAAACTTAATAATCATTTTACTTACTTTCATATTTTAATTCTCATGATATAACCTCACTAAGCACTTTTCCCCCATTTCTTGATGGAAACGGCCTGTTCATTTGATCATGGCCCACTTCTGTCTCCAGTTGCCGAGCCAACACTACTCTTCCCCGCTTTTGTACTGCCAACCTAAAAGCACCATTGGAAGGACTGTAGCTTCCTAAAGCCGACGCTTCAGCACTGCAGAACGACTCACACAGGAAAGCTGTTTTGTAAAAGCTTATTAGCACAGGAATCAGAGGAGTAATGTAAAATCCAAATAGTCCCCAGGGAGGTAGTAACAAAGGCAGCTGGTAAACCCGAGTTGCTTAATGACAGGAAGCCAAGCTGCTGATAGCAGGGTGTGCAGCTGAGTTCACAGAGACCAACTTGTGCATTTGAGAAAGAGACAAACGCAAACTGATCAAAGGAAGATGCTTCACGATAGTCCTAAAGCTCTATGAAGCACTCCACCTAAAGCCACTTTATTTTTGATTTAAGTCAGATTCCAAACATGCCCATTAACAACAGCGAATCACCTCTGAATAATTAAATCAAAATAGAAAACGCTAAGGTCAGCACAGAAGATACAATAGCTGCACTGCCACTACTTAGGCTACCCCTGAGGTTAGCCCCAAAATGAAAAAGCCTCAGTGCTTCACTACTCAGCATGGGCCACATTGCAATCAACAGGAAGATGTAACCATGAGTTGGCTCACTCAACTCCCAAACTGTGAAGCAAACCATCCAGAGAGGACTGGGAAACGGCACCTCCGGCTGCCTCTCCAAATCAACACAGCCACTAAAATCATGATGGATGGTCCACCATAATCTCTGTGCAGGAGCGGAGCCTAACCCAGACTCTGGCCGCATCAGTCTGCACTGTTTGGTCCGTTTGCCGAGGGAAATCACAACAGATTGCTGCGGGGCCCACCATCCCCAACTCTCAGCCCAAGTTCCACTTCAGAGGTGAAGGGGAGGCTGCCAGCTGGTTTACTCTGTCTGCTGCTTATCTCACACTGCACTGCAGCTGCTCCTGTCTCCACTGTTGGGTTCGCTACGGCCATGACGGGCAGTAGGGAAAACCTAGAAACGCAAGTCAGTACACCTGCATCAGAGGTACCAGTGGACTGAGCTGACTGGATGTGGATTTGCACCTCCAAGGAGACCATCAGCAGGAAAAGGGAAGCATCAAGGATCCAATAAAACCACAGGAAACGCTTCAACAAATTCTGATGGAAGAGGTGTTTTCTACTATGAAACTCCACCTGTTCAACTCCAGGCTCCTCAGTATATTAGCTAGGACATGGAACCAACTTTGCTGTAATGGTAATTAAATGTCACCTGGGCTAAGACCAAGCACTGGAAAAAAGGATGTCAGTAACAAAACTTTTTGAATGCTGCTTAAAAGCCACATCAGATTCACTTACCTGTTATTCTCTTTTCTTTATTCAAGTCAATCTGCAACCACTGATGTTCATCACTGATAAAAGCAGCCCAAGGAGGACCAACCCTTTTTAGTCTGGCATTTTCAGGTTTCCAAATGTTCACTTGTCCTGTTTGATCAGACCACTCAAGAATAGATGATGCCGTGATCTGGGCATCAGGGATTACCCCAGATTCCATCCCCAGTGTCCCATAGCAACCTGAGCAACAGAAAAGGTGAGGATTCAAAATGAAAATTCAAGTTACACAATGATTTCACCTGCTTGGAGTTTAAGATTTTACATGCAAATATTAAACTGCCATCTAAATTTATTCCATAACAGCACTACCAACAAAACACACTATCTTCTGCTTTCTAACAGTGATGCTGGTCATGAGTATTCCATGATTTATGCCTGCTCAAGAGTAATGTGGATATTCTCTCAATCACCACCCACACAGGGCACTAGATGAGAAGCTTTGGGGGAGCTGTCATGGTTTAAGAGTCTGTATGGTTGATGCAGGAATGGGAAACAGACTACTTGATCATTAGTTCCTTTTTTGTGTCTACGTAACTTCTTGTTTTTTAAACCCACCTCAGTATCACAATGCTAATTAGAACAATACACCAAAGCACACAGGAAGCCATGTCATAATCCTGGCCTTGAGCTCAAACACATCCTTGAAATTAGTTGTATTTTTTTGGTCACCATTCTTCCTAAAAGTTTCTTCCCATGTCGCTTTCTGCTGATGGCTAAAAAACATCTCCTGAATTCCTGGCTAAATTTCCTTGTGGCTAGTTGATATCCATTTGCTCTTTGCTAAAATCTTGTTCTGTAGCGCCAACAGTTTTCCCCTCTCACATGGGTATTCCCCAGATGTATCAGTAGAGAGCAATCTTTGCCTTCAGTCAGCCAGCCTGAACAACCCAGCCGTTTCCCTCTTGCTATGAGCTCCCCCTCTCCCTGCAGGTGCCCCTGCAGCCCTCCTCTGCACCAAGGTCCAGTGCTCATCCCTCAAGGGAGGCACAGGTGGCAAAGCCCATGTGCGACTGGATCCCAGAGAAAGCCTTGCCAATGTCCTGTGTGATGGCATTAATAGTTCATTGTCTCTACTGGACGTACTTCGCCTACTACAGCACAGGATCACATTAGCACTTCACTAACCGAATCCTTTCCCTCATCCGTCATTTCCATCTAACATGCTGCCAGTTTGAAGCAGAAATGCCTCAGTCTCTATGTACCCGACCTTATACTTTTTGCTCTGTGATTCTTCAATTAATTTCTATTACTCAAGTCTCAAAGTCAGCCAGGTCTTCCTGTACAAATAGTTTCATCTTCCTCTGCACTGACCACACCTCTAGCATTAGTAACACACTCCTCTATTTTGCACCAACTCATGAAACCAACTACTATGGAAGACCCACACTAGTAACTTCACCACAGTCTGATAAACCTCATTTGAGCATACTACGGAGTCCTCTTTTTCCTTCAGTTAACTCCTAGGCCACCCAACTACTACATACATTTTAATCTAGACCTGCAACTCGTCTCTAGCTTATTCAATAATTTGTCCCATGTCACTGAAGTCCAGATAGTCTAGAGCAGCATTTTGTCCTATCTCTTCATATTCCAGGCCATTTAATTACTTTCATGTACACTTTCAGATCACATTCTGAAAGACAAAAAACTCCAACAAACCCTGCCTCGATCACTGTGTTTAATATTCTCCATGCATAAGGTCACCAGACGTGCAATTCCTTCTTCCAGCTCTTGCAGAGGTCTGGGAGGGAAATTATTTGAATATTATGTGGATTATATTTTCTAATTTTTGCTTGTTTGTATATATTTCCATCTCCAAACACTCCTGCCCAACAGATTCCTGCCTTTATATCCCCATTCAGCATCACTTTTATTTATATATTAGGAAGAGTATTTGTTTACTTTCGAGGTGTATATGTATGATTTCCCCCCCCCCCTTTTTTTTATATTGTTATTAAAACAGTTAAAGAGACTAAGGGAAGGCCACTGTCTTCGCAATACTTCCAACATCCATTCAAAGATGGCACTTAAAGTGACTTACAGAAAAGCTAGCTTCCATTTAGAAAACTACAGCTAATGTAGTTGAAAAATGGGTAATTGATAGAAAGTAAAAACATGCAAAGCAGTAAAGCTTTAGAAAGGGGCTACACCTGTTATACCAATCAGTAACGTGGTACACATTTGCAAAACAAAACATGGCAGCCAAGAAGGAACACAACTGACACACAGAGCAAGGCCCAAGAGGTGCCCTTCCAGAGCAGGAGAGACAAGTAATTTATCACATAGCATTCAGTTGCAAGATTATGGGAAGAAAAAAAGTAAAAGGGGGTGGAGAAAGTTGAGGAATCATTTTGGGATTTCTGCGAGCTTTCTTAGTGGGCAACAAGGAAAGAGTAAGGAGTAAACCTGGAAAAAAACTAGAATGCACAGTTGTTACAAATAAAGAGCATCTCTTAAGCACCCAGCTCTGCTTTAGCAGTGTGTTTAAAGTATGGGAGTCAAGTCACTTTAAACCATACTATTATAGAGGAACAACAGAAAGAATCTTTTTCTGCAGATAAGCAAGGCTTACTTTATACATCACTGTGTCTATAAACATACGATGATTAATCATCAAAATGACATAGTAAAACAATTCAAAAATATGCATTACTGAGGAATGCAGTAAACAAAACTCTCACTAACTAGAACAAAAATTAAGAAATAAAATACCTGCATACTTATTTCTACTCACAAAATTTGTATGAAAGTATCAACATGTAATACGTGATAATGCTTACCACTCGTCTTAAATGTGAAGAGACTTGTAGATAACGGTCCCCTGCAGAGAACAAAAGATGATGTTTTTTGTGGTAGTCAGTGAGGAAAACTGAAACAAACTGTCTTCGATTTACTTTTCTTGTCTGACTGCTTGCCACTGAAACCTATGCACATATGCCTAAACAAGCACTTCACGATTAAAGTAACACTTCCTGTCACCAAGTTGCAGCGCTTTCAGTACGAACACCTTTTCAACTGAAATCTAGTCCAGAGATACTATCTGAGTTAAAGGCTTTCAAACAAACATCTGCCCAGCAAAACGCTAGGCTTCATTAAAATGCTTCCCTTTTAAATTAAGCTAATGATAATAACAAGAATCAATCTCCTCTGATTGCTTTCATTCCTGGGACTTCTGAGATAAAATGACAAGTTACACTCTCTCCCCTGCAACTAAAAAGTTGCCGTTAAATTATTGTTTTTCCACAGACCATTACGAATTTATGGTCATGCCATGCATTTTGGAAGATAAAACCTCTTTGCAGAATTTGGAAAATTAATCTTTAGGATCTAGAGGTTAAAAATATCTGGTAAAACAATGACAGCGTGGCAAAAGAGCATGGTGAGAACCTGTCCATGGAACACGTAGCTCCACTAGCTGAAATTAATCCCGATGAGACACTACCAAGATCTAAGGTGCTAATGATAAGGAGAACATAGGAAGTACACTTACACTTTTGATGTGACATTGTTAGCCAGGGAGCCTTCATAGTACGGAATGCCCTTGCTGATTACAACATTAATTTGGCCACCCAGAGTATTTGACACAACGCCTGCATGAACACCAGCCATACAAAGTGATGATGACTTGAAGAGAGGGGAAAAAGAAAAATTTAATACTACATTGTAAATAAATTAAATACTACACCGTATATTGTAAATGCTACATTGTCCAGTTATAGTCTTTGTTAACGTTACATTAAGATACTGTTCTATTTAACTGTTATCTCTGCTATTTAGAAACCATTCATCTTTGGTTTACTATGGAATTTATAAAAACACAAAAAGAAGGTCCTACATTTCACTGCGTCCTCACCAAGATGCATTTGGAATGTAACTCTTGTAATTAAATAAGCTCAAACAAACAGCAAGGTGAATCAGTCTGAAAAAGTCAGACAGCCAGACTTTCAGCCTACAATAAATCTACTATGTTAGACAACAGAAGTTGAATACATAAATACGTAGGAAACCTTTTAATAGAAAGCACATTGAAAGTATGGTTATTCATTTTCTCACAATTAAGGAGTGATGCACTGCAGATTTTGTAGCTTTTAGCCAATGGGTTGTATTTTTTATTTTAACTCATGGTAAAACATGGCTTAACCCATCCAGCACTCTGACCCATATGAACCCACAGTAATACGTGAATACAATTCGTTCTAAAGAAGCCGATTACCTAGGTTGTACAGGTCAATGGAGATCAGTTACGCAGAAAGTTTTTGCAGGACAACCTGTTCTCTCCTTCTCTCCCTGAACGACTGTTAGCCCGGATCCACTAACAAATGTCACAGTGACACTTCCATTTCCCTGGCTTGCAGGCTAGCTGTGCCATGGGGAGCAGGACTGACTCACCACATCAAGTCCTTCGGGCACAGCACAGAGTGAGCAGAGCAAGACGCCTGTCTCCTGAACCAAAACTAGCCCAGGAGATCTTCTCAAGCTGGGAAGCAAACCCTTCCAGGCCAAAAGGGCTTGACCAAGAAACATCCTAGTGCTCAGGAGCAGAGAGACAGTCCAGTTCCCAAAAAAGCTGAGCAGCAGTGGCTTTGCACCCATCTACCACGTGCTCTGAGGTTTCTGGAGGATTACTGGCTACGCACATTGCAACAGGCATAGACAGAGCTATTCACAGGCATTCCTGCAATGTGCAGCACTGGGGTATGCACAGACACGCTGCAATTCTGCAGCCCCTCGCTCGCATCCAATGAGACTGGGATCAACCTGAATTTTAGAAGATCGAGTGGGCCCAAGCTGTCTGTGAAGGACCACCTGGGTATCTCCCAATATACCTTCCAGAAACCGTATTTAGCTTGTTATTACTAGTGTGGTATCCCAGCACAGACTTGCCCAAGTCGATAAACAACAGATGATGACTACAGATTTTTATTTACTGTTAATAGTTGCTCCCCCAAACAAAGTCCACTGCTAGCTGTTGCTACTAAACACATTTACTGCACTGCTCTGCCAACCAATCCACTGGGTGCTACAGAGCCTCACCACAATTCTTTAAGAAGGAATCAGCAGGTCCCTTCCAGAGAAGGAAGACTTCATGGATGATTTTCTTTCTCACATTATTTTAAAAACAGAACAACTTTCTCCATTGTGGCTTCTTTAGAAATAACTGCATGGTGTAGCAGGCCGGGATGCCCTTATATCTCAAGCCCACTGGCAAAAAAACCTGCTCACCGCAACTTTTCCAAACCTAATTCTCCCCAGTATATTCACACATAAAAACTCTAACCCTATTCCCCACCCCCCAAAAATCCCAAAAGCTTTCTAAATAAATGTAACTATGTCTCGCTCATGCACACAGCTCCCCTTTCCTTTCCTACTTTCCCTTGAAAGCAACAGCATGGGATTCTGCAGTAGATGCAGCTCTCCTCCCTGCTCACCAGAAGACGTCAGCAATGAGTGCTCCAAGTCCTCAAGGACTGTGGACATCAGGGTCACACACAAAGGAATCAAGAATTAGGGTATTTTTTAAAGCAGCAAGCAGCTGCTGATCATTTGAAAGAGATGCATGAGAAATCGCTACCTGAAACTTTGTCTAAAATGCTGGACAATTTGATTTCTTTCCACATAGCTTGACTTCTGGGAAATTCTCTGCCTTTTATTCAGAGCAATAAAGTATACAAAAAGAAAGTCACAGGGCATTTATTTCCTAAAGTTTCCTTTTTCCTCCATAGAAAACAGTTTTTCCAGATTTTGGCAAAAAAAACTCCCAACAAGCAGAACTCTACTGATGCTGCAAATATGTTAGGCAGAGACTCAATTTCATCTTGTTACTAGCTACAAAAATTACCTTGCAGCTGTTTAGTGAGGACTCACTGTGGACCAGAACATATAACACAGTTACGCTGTGGTGACATTTTTACATATGGGTAACTATTTAAGCAGGTAGCCTAGCATTTACAGATATTTGAGAAAAGAAAATCAGAGAGGCACACTTTAGGTTCATATTTAATATTAAAATCTGTGCTCACTAACATTTTAAATTGTCTTTCCTCTGTGCTAGATCTAATGGCTTATTAAAAGAGTATTTTAAGACAAAGAGATTTAATGTAATTTTTTACTAGATTGCTACCAAAATTATAATCACTTAAAAATAAACAAAGCAAACACCCTCCAGTCCTATGGCAGGTATGCTAATTCAGTTACAAAAGCTCACATCAGAAAAACAGTGTATAGGTTTTTGTATTGTTCTAAGTAAATAGTACATTATTAAAGATTTTCACTTCCAGTTTATAGAACTATTAATGTTACAGTATTAACTCTGTTTTGCAAATGGTTTTATAGCTTCTGAGCATAAACAGTATTTTATCTCTCATGTTGTAATAAAAAAATTAAGATAACCACTGAGACCCTCCATTTAGAGATGCTTACAGTGTCAAAACCAAAAGGACACCATTAAAAGAACTGATCCTCTCTTTATAAATCCGAATTTCCCAACCTGAGAAAGCCAACAAAAACAAAACAGGAAGTAGAAAGCTATTTTGATTGATCCACCCTTCTCAGCAGGCCTTACAAAAACGTTTGAGTCTCTACTACTACTTCACTGCTTGGAGATGGAAACATCTGAAGCACCAGCCATTTAGCAGCTGTGCAAAAAAAAAAAATGAGTACCATGCTATTCACTTTAGAAGGTACAAGTTCCAGAACCCAGGCAGCAGAACTAATGTGAACAACTATAATTGACTTGTAATTATACACTGTGCATTTTACCAAAATTCCCGTGAGCCCACGGTCTTTTTACTTACGTCTCTGTATCCATGGGGAATAGTGCCTGAAATATCAGCAAAAGGAATCACACATCCAGCTGGACAATACTTACTGGAAGAAAACAAAATATCAAGTCAAGACATGCATGCAACTACAACTCTTATAATGTTATAAAATAGTCATTATGTTTTTGATTTACAATACATTGTTATCATTCATATATCACTATTTAAGGATATATCCTAATTGAAGACATATCAGATCAGACAAAGAATACTCAGGAAGAAAAGTACACAACAGGAGAACAGACATTTGAAAAAGTTTAAAAAAATGTCTCAGCTGAAACTACAGTTCCAGTCTCAATATAATAAATTAATAGAGCCAGCATTTTATAATATAAATACTGCATGGCTTCTGTAAATTGAAAGTCACAGAAGTACCAATATTAATGCATTTTATTTTATAAACTAGAGTTCTGCATATCTGTTTGTTTTGCATCCTTAAATAATACATCTGAAAAGTAATGTTATTTTATAATAGCTCCTGGCAATGCTTTGATCATAAAACATTGGCCAAATTCAGTTAATACCACTAGCTCATGAAAAGCAAGAGGCAAGACATCTGCACGTCTGATGCAAGCCCATGTTCATGTTTTAGTGCCATTTTATACTGCACATACAAAAACTATTTAATCTTCAAGATGTAATAGTGAACTGGAGTAAACTATTAACATTTTCACTGCAGTTCAACAACAGTTGAAGCAAGTTTGCAGGTACCACAAAAATAGTGGGATTCAGAGACTTCAACACATGTTGAGTAAGGCCAGAACCTACAATTACAGCCCTATTTTGGAACCTGGGAAAATGAGAGAGAAATGCAAAGGTTGCACTTTGAAATGTTTCATGATGCCAGGGCTGAAGTTCTCCAAAAAGTAAGTTTATGCGCTTCACAATAGTCTGCAGCTTTAAACACTGTCCTTGCTTTAGATGGAAATGGAGAAGGAGAAAACAGGGAAATGACATATGTTTCCTCCAACAGAAGGTACAGCATTTTATGTCTCCACAGAACCTCATTAATTCACACCAAACTGTGAAACAGGTTTGTAATTTTTAACACATTTCATAGTTTAGTGCTCCTTAGATAATTGTAATATGAATGTCAGTATTTAGGAATATGTGTTTATAAAAGCAATGTTCTTTCTATGGGAATGAGATATTAGCTCCTATGTGTTAGTGCAAATTAACGAGGTTCTACTGTATACTGCATGTAAATAACAAAAATGGGGGGGAGAGAGAGAGAGGAAGGAGTGCAAATGTCAAAATTATTCAGCTCTAACCCGAATTAGTTTGTTTCTTAAGTTCTCTGGACAGCCAATTTTCAAGCTGCATCAGGTATCAGTAACAGAGTGAAGTAGAAACACCAAAATGACTTCATTAAAGAGATTGAGGGGAAACAGGTAAAATCAGTCTTACTTGAATTCTGGTTCGGAAAAGTGACTTGCATTGTCTAAACAGGTAATTAGGTCTGGAAAGAAAAAATGTTAGGTCAAGAGGATGATAAAGACAAGAAGTTTGAGTATGCTTTTTAAAGTGCACAAAAATATACATTTGAGCCTCTGTGGCTTAACCAAAAGTCTCAGAATGAAAAAAACAGGTTCCTACTAAATTTTCTTGCAACAGATTTTGTATTACAGTAGAACCTTGATAATTTGTCTGAGTAACTGGGAAATCCACTGAGAATGTGACATAGACAAGAGAAACACTACAAACATTCATTTTTTGTGCAGCTTAATTTTAATTTATAGCTGTACTTCAGCGAACCTGACATAATTCAGAGACACAAACATACGCTCTTTTCACAAAATTAAATTAATAAGCTAGCTAAACAGGCCTGTGTTTTCAGCATTTAACAATCCTACAGTACTGAAACCAGGCAGCACAGGGAACAAACATTAGAGTGCCATGTTACTGGCATCCATGACTGATATCTCAAATTCTATGTTCAGTCTGCTGTGTATCAGCACATACAGTCCAAAACACAGAGAAAAAAGCATCAGAAAACCCACAAAATACAAATTAAAAATGGAAACTCTTTATCTGTTCTTTTTAGAATTACTTCTAGAAAGGGTTTTCTCAAGCCTTTTGCCTTGTGAAGCAGTTGCTGGCAAGCAACCTTTTCCACAAGGTTGGTCTGTATAAAATATATACAGTTCAATAAGAAAATTTTTTTGTTATCTGCCACCTTGATTACTACCTGAAGAAACACATTTCGTCCTTTATCCGAAGCAGCTCTTTCATTCATAACAGATAACTGCAATTCTTGCCCTGATATCCAGGGTCAGCTTTGATATCATTTCTTTAAAACTACAGTAACTTAAATAGTAACTGAACAGTCCAATTTCCTACGCAGAAGTATCAGGAAGACTGTATTAAAAGTCTTCATTTTTAGAAGTTCATTTGTGAGAAGGCAGGAATAAATAAATTAGTTCTGTGTTTTTACTAGGCAGCTCTAATTTTACCAGCACAGAAAAATTACCAAATAATTATAAATACCTGACTTGTCAGTGGTTGAATAAGCTGCAAGAAATCCACGTCCAGAAGTGTGTGTTCCACTCATGAACTGTACTGTGACTTCATTACTTTTTGAAGTAATTAAACCACCCATTTGAAAGCCAAACCCACAGTATTTTCCTATGGAGAGAAGAGGTAGAACAGATATGGACCAAAACCAGCATATGTAATAAGCATCTTTTTTCATTTGCAGTGTAAGCTCACATTACTTCTGCCGTATATTCAAAACCAAATACATGTGCATGACACTAAATAATGTAGTCGGTGTCCATTTAAAGCAAATGGCAGAGTATGGATACCACATTTATTTTGCCACTGTCAACAGGTAAGAGCCTCTCATACCCTTAACACTTGCAAATAAATATGACCTTATCCCATTCACCTCTAGCCATGCATAACCCTCACAGTCAGTTCTTCAAAGACCACGAGAAATCTGTCAAGGAAAAGGATCAAGTTAGGGCAACGAGAATCATCTACAGAAGCAAATGAGAAAAAAGCCCTCCTCTTCCCTCAGCTGTTGGGGCACTTCCTCCTTTTTGACTATTTCATGGTTTCTCTCAACTACTTTTCTTAATTTTGGACAACAGCAAGCATGATTCACTGCACTTCAACATTGACATACAAGCATATGTGAGTACCATTAATATAAACTGCCAGTTGGTTCACTTTCTGGTTTACTGCACTTATAAAACCTAACAGAGTTTCTGCATCTGGATACTTCTCTTGCCATCCAAAATGACCAAAAATAATACATTTTAAACTGAGATGCTGGAGTCTGCAGATATTGACAATACTTGCCCTATAAAGTCCTAGAATTACTACCAAATGACATTACCTGGATGAATGGCTGTTAAACAGACCCAAATCAATATGGAATTCTCCAGTCCTACTAACTATAAACTTTAATAAAATACTGATCATTTTACTAACCTGTTAAGAAAAAAACCCAAACATATTCTGTTCTATAGGCTCCCCTGATCATTCAATGTTGTAAACCATCTATGGCCCTATTTAAGATTCTGCAGTGGATAATCAAAGTGGATAATCACCAGCAGCAAATGACACTGCATATGTTTCAGTTTACCATTCATTTATTTGCTTTCTTGATAATAAGTATATTATCATATCGTAAAAGAGCAAAAAAGGAAGCCAGACTCCCTTCTCAACTAAAAGCAAATGACAATACTAAAGTAGAGGGAGTGGAATAACACTGCCCTGCAGGAATAGTTCTTAACAAATATAATACAAAACAAATATAAATATAACACAAAAAAATATAATGTGTATGTCAAATTCCTTTAAAAGGTGAACTGCACTCTCAAATACTAATAAAATAAAAATTAAAAAAATACAAATTCCTATCATTATTCAGAGCTTTCTAACTGTTGCTTAACCAGATATCTTTTGAACAAAGCAAGGGTATTTTCTAATGAAAAAAAAGAGAACAGATTTTACAATACTTTAATGAAATTTATAATATTATACAAATATAACCTTACCTCAATTTACTACTTAAACTGGTTATCAGCAAGAGTTATAAAGAAGTAAGTTCCCTTTTACCACGGCTCCACGTTGACCCTATGTTTTGCTATAAGTCATGTTTCAATGATTAATTGCATTCATTATGATGAATTGCATCATTTTTCCAACTATCACTTTGCTTTTCCTTTTTTTTAAGTTTTGTTTTCAGTGACTAGATCTTGTTACATGATTGACCAGCATGAGACTCCTCTCAGGGTAGGGCAGACTGTCCTCAAGACACCATTTATCCTCCTCTTCGGGCAAATACACAGGGCAAGACACTTAAATCTAGCTTGGATAAACTATTCAGTGCTGCTTGCACCATGGAGATACAGCTTTTGACAAACTGTAGACTGATGCACCTTATGATTCATGGCAAGACATACTTTTGAGACTATAAATCATTTCTCTAACTCTTCCCTGGCCTCTCACCACATTTTTAGCAATCTTTTTAAAAAGTAGGCACTAGAAATGGTCAAAACATGACTGCCATGACACCTCTGTCAATGGTACGTGCAGAAGATTTAATATTTTGTCTGTACTTCTGCACTGAAGGACCCCAAGTGCTTTTCTACAGCAACGTTACAGCAGGAGAGGGAATTCCCACGGTAGCTTACATTCTCTGCTCCTATGGATCTGGGCTTACATTGTATGTATTAAATAAGTACATCTGACTAGACGCACAGTGATTGGACTGTGATGAAACCTAATATAGAACACCTCTAGATCTTACTTAAACTAGAGACAAACTAAACACCAAGGATTTGAATCTTCTTTTGATTTATTGATAAATATTCAAAAGGCTTGGAATGAGAACTAGCCCTTAAAAGCTTCATTAGAAACCTTCTCTGTTTATCAATTAACTAACCCACTAACAATTCATTTTTTATCTAATCAGCCAATCTTTAAGTCATTTTGGGTTAAAGTAGGTATCATTGAATTTCAGATTTTATGTAATACAAGTATTTTAATGTTAGATCATGTCAGTAGTCTTGAATGGAAAACTTAGGATAAATCCAGATTTCTTCCAAACAAATTCAGGTCACTGTTTAATCTCTCCAGTGTTTGTTGCTTCAAACATGAACATTCAAGAATCTGCATCATCTGTATCTGCCACTGTTAATATCACTGTTTGTTCTGTGATTTAATTTATTAAGAGCAGAACAACACACGCATTTGCTCAACATACTGTGCTACTACACCAGCTGGGAACAGCTGAAAGTCAGGAGAAACAAATGAAGTAGAAAATTTACTCGAACCCATTAAGTCACTTGTAAAAGTGAATAACAGACTTATCAGAACTGGATGTTCCTTGCCATTTTAGGACTTCAGCGTTTCCTATTTTAGACCAAGTCTCGCTCAACGGCTCCAAGCATATACTTATTTTCACACACTCTTACCTAGGTAACAGTTGGAAAAGAGGGTTAACAAAGCTAACATTCCACTAGCCTCTTTATAAAAAGACTCAATTTAGTGGGATCGGCATTTGAGTTGCACAAAAGCAATCTTGGTGAAGTGAATATCTCTCTCTCTCCAGATTAAAGCTTTAGGAAAGAAAGTAAAATTAATCTGCACAGTAACAATTAATTTTAGTGAAGGAAGAATGACAATTTATTTGGAGTTTTAGGCAAACAAGGGTCTTAAAACCCTACATATACCTTGATGTAGATGATAAAGTAACACTTCTATTTGAAAAAAACTCTGCCTTACAGTCATGAAATTCAATTTGTCTTCTTAAAGAGGACAAAAATTAAACTACGGACATTATCAGAAGATGAGGGATATTTGAACTACACAACTTTTGAAGCCTGACATCCTTTAATACCACCAAGATGAACAGCTCAAACCAGAGCTATTCCATATAAAAAGAAAGGCATTTCAGGCAAGATATACCTATATATACACACACTTTTTTTTTTTTGCCCTTTTTTTTTTAAATAAAGATCCTCATAGTTTTGCAATTCCCTCTCCACTTCTTGCAAGAATTTTGCAAGCTACTGGGAAATGTATCAGAAAAAACAAACAAACAAACAAACAAACAACATCACAGTGGAGTTTCCTCTGCGAATCTGAAGAATCAAAGAATATTATAGGATCTGTGTTGCATTTAGCATCTAGTTGTTGTACGCACGAACAAAATGTAGGATGTTCTGTTATCATTATCACCCATCATTTTTTCAGTACATTTTTAGGATATAGGAATTGTGTCAAGAAGACAGACATTTACATATGCTTTAATAACAGTAAATAAAATGCAATTACTTAAGAATAATTAAATTAAGAATACTCTGGCATTCCAAACAGAGAGTTCATTTGCTGAGCAACAATGGTAAGTGTACTTGAAATGAGCACGTCACCAGAGAAAGGGACAATCAGACTACTGTTTTCTTTACCACTTTTATTTTTAGTTACAGTTGTAGGTGTACTCCCTCCCTGTACTAAAGACCTGTATAGCATCAGGAGAATCTTTCCTTAGCTATTCTTTCTAGCAGTACTATCAGTAGTAAATTTACTAAAACTGGTCCCTGATGGCTGTTTTTCTACTGCGGTGAGGTACACACAGCACTCCTCAAAGTTTTGCAGAGTTTCCTTGATATGAAGCTCAGGAAAAACACAACTCAGATAACAGAATTACTAAAATTCCTTTTTTAACCTTATTTGAGATTCCTGTAAATAACAAACACTTCCTTCTTTTCATCACTTCTCATAAGACTCAAAATCCACACTGTACAAAGCAGCATATGATGTATTCAGGCAATGTCTTACCCTGCCCAAAATCCAACTGAATTATAACAGTTTTCTAGGGCTATAAAAAAGAACTTAACTAATACCATACACCTAGTAGCTACTCTATGCTCAGAGCAGGTAAACAAGGAGAAATTGTAAAAGTAACTAAAGTACCAACAGTATATCCAAGTTCTATAAAGGACATTAGCTTTCAAGTACCAATAATAAAAGCTCCTACCTATCTCTGTCCTGGTGGGGCCAATCCCATTGTGAACTCTTAAGTAACTGGAATGACAAGAATCTGAGTCATCAATATCAAAATCGCCAAATTTGAGCTGAATTCGCTGCCCAGGCTTTACACGAATTTCCCATTCACAAACTGTGCTATTGGGAGAGGTCTGTGGGTAGTTTATTGAAGCAAGAGTTCCACTTTCAGGGCCCAGAAGAGTGTGTCCACACCCATCACCTACAAAAGAACAAAAATAAACCAGTTACACGCGTTCATCTTCAAAGCTTCACTGGTGATTTAGTCATCCTGGGTTTTAGCAGTGGTATAAGATTTGTTGTTTTTTTAACCATACTAATCATGTTGCAACAAAACTCCAAGGTAAGTAGCATGCAGATGAACCAGCAATTGTGAGAAAATACCATTCAACTAATGTTGCCTAACGTTTAGCTTCTCATCATAGGTGACCAGAGAGCTGCTACAACTTCCTCAACGAGATAAAAATTCATCCATAATGACTTAAAACATTGCACAGAGAGTACAGAAAGTGTCCCTGCTATTTCATGTTCCCTCAATACCTATGTACAGAAGAAAACAGTTTCTGAAAAGGAGGGAGAAACCCACCAATAAAACAAGAGCACATCAGTTTTACTGTTGTTACTGTATTCACAACACGATGAAAAAGAACAGAAGTGGGAAGACAATGGACAGCAAATACTCTACTGAAAATACCTGCCAGGTCTGACCATCATCAAACTGCTAGTTCATTGTTTTCTACTGTGCCACAATTTTAATGCAGTAATTAATTCTTACAGCTCTTTAGAGAACATGCTCAATTTTTCTGGATTTGTGCAACAAATTAAATTACAACTCCAACCTGGAGCCCTCTACCTAACATTTGAGTATTAATTTGAAACAGCAGTAACGATACTAAAGAAGACTTGTTTAACAAGTGGAAAAAATAGCACAAATTGTGTATTCTCAAAATCAAATTATAAAGAGCAAACTGATAAATCTATTTACTCAACAGCTAGACATTAATTTCCCTCAGTATGTAGTACAAGAAGTGTAAGAATTTGTGCGTTGTTTTGGAAATAAGAATGTTCTTTAAGTAACATCCATGATCACTGGTTTTTCATAAATTACTGTATCAAGGTGAAACAAAGTATTCCTGAGCACAAGGACACATCCAGCAAAATAACATCTGCAATAACGTAAGCCCCACAAAATAAGCCTCATAACATCTCTGATTTATTTTTGTTAGCACTGGAGGCTAACAAGCCTATTTATTGAATTTAGTCCCATGAAATGGGACTCCCAATAAATTTGGGAGACAGTCCTGAAGGGCAAAGGGGTCCAGGAAGGCTGGGTGTTCTTCAAGAAGGAAGTCTTAAAGGCGC